CAATAAGCACATGCAAAGATACTCAACATAAGTAACAGAGAAATGCAAATTAAAACCATGAGGACAGCACAGTGGCTCATGCTTGTATTCTGGTTCAGGCTATCCCAGGCAAAAAGTTCAGAAGATTCTACCTCAACAAATAAAAGCTGGATGTGGTAGTATGCGCCTGTCAACCCCACTACCCTAAAAGTGTAAGCAGGAGGATGATGGTCCATGACAACTTGGGCACAACATGAGATGTTATCCCCAAAGTAACAATTCAGAAGGGCGCCTGGTATGGCTCATGTGGTAGAACAACAGCCTAGCAAGTGCAAAGTCCTGAGTTCAAAACCCAGTACCTCCCCAAAACAAAACAAAAACTACCAGAAGATACAACTTCACATTCATGAGATTGCCTGGAATAAAAAGAAAAATACTAACAAATATTTACAAGGATGTGAAGAAATGGAGATATAAACTGGTTATAACTCAATCTCCTCCAATAGATAATGGATAAATTGTGGCAGATTATATAACTATTAATATATACTGATATTCAGCCATAAATAGGAAAAAAGTGTTGGTACAGGCTAATAAGGATGAAACTCAAAACATTATGCTAAGGGAAAGATAGACATATCCATCAAGACAGAAAGTAAACCACCTGTTTCCAAGAGCTGGGAGAAGGGGAAAAGGGAGTTAAGGATGGAGTTTTCATTTGGGGTGAGGAGAATGTCTAGAACTTTCTAGATTTAATTAGCTACACAATACTATGAGTGCTAATGGCCACTGATATGACCACTCTTTAAAATGGATTATCTTATGCTATATGAATTTCACCTCAACCACAAACAAATCTGCAGCCTGGAATACATTTCTTAGAGCTCTTGCCTATGTGGGAAATAATCTTTGTGTGGAAGGAACTGGTACACTGAGGAGATAAGATGGAAAGTTCTAGACCCTTTCTGATTTTTGTCTTTAGTAATGGCACAAATAGGTTTTTCTTTCTCACACACACACTCTTCCTTGCCCTGGTCACTTTGATAAACATATCCTCACTGTACTTTATCCAAACTGACAAGAACTCTGTATAACCCACTCAGATTTGAAAAAAAAAAAAAGTGACATTTGGAGGATTTACTTTTTTGAGCAATCTTCCAAGGGCCCACGTTCCTTAACCTCACCTCTGGGTGGCTATTTGTGCTTGCTTCCACATATCTTCTTTTCCATTTCTGTGTTTTCTTGTGTTCATGACAAAGAGATTTCAGCAGCTTTTCCTGTAACCTTGCTAAGAGCTTACGGGAAAGGTGGTAGGCCAATGTGACCCAATGATGATAACCAATGAGAGAATGGTTTAAAAACAAGATTATAATCTCAAATAAACCATGATTCTACTTAAAGAAAAGGACAAATAGCATAAAGTAGAAAACCTTGAGGTCTACCAAATAGTTAACCTGGAAGACTAGCTGAAAGTAAATGGCATCAATCCATGCACTTGTTAATTTGTTTGTATCAGATCAAATTACTGTTGGGATTTAATAATTTTCTTTAATAATTTCTTTTTGGTCTGTTTCAATTTAGACACAGTAAATTCAAATGCTTCCCTAATGTGGTTTCTCGTATTCCACAGAAACTCCTTGTTTGCTGCAGTTTCTTCCCATTGGAGGAAAGGTAAGATCTTTGAGAGGAAGTTTACCTTGCTCATCTTTGCACATTTACACGACCCTTGCACATTTACATGACTCTTGTACACCTATGAACATATAAGCAGCCCCCTAAAGTAGAGACCCTAATTCCCCACTGGTGGTCTCCAACACTTCCTTCCATACACTCTACATTTTTTCACAACCTGTAAGGATCAGGTAGCCTGCTCCCCTTTTATAAATATTTTTTTCTCTTTCAATTGCTATTTCCTTTTACAAAAGGGAAGTTTGGATAGCTTAAACCACAACCAAAATTGTCAATTGTCTCCTTAATCTGTATTATGAATCATCAGTCAACTTGGTTTTATGTTTACTAACACAGTTTACACCAGCATATGATTTCCCTGAAACACAATCTCTCTTCTACATCCAAGGCTCTAAACTAGCACACTCCCTACACTTCAAGATTTAGGAGTCACAAGAAACAAAACATAAAATTTTCAAGTAAAAGAAAAAATGCTTGTTACCTAAAGGAAGATAGACCCTTAAAAAAATAAAATATAAACCTAAGTGTTAACAAAGTACAACTTTCAGGAAAAAAGATTCAAAAGAGAACCGGGTTCCAGTTAATGGCTCACACCTGTAATCCTAACTACTCAGGAGGCTGAGATCTGAGGATCACAGTTTGAAGCCAGCTTAGGCAGGAAAAAGTTCATGAGACTCTCTCTCTAACTAACTACCAGAAGACTGGAAGTGGTGCTCTGGCTCAAAGAGGTAGAGCACTAGCCTTGAGTGAAAAAAGCTCAAGGGCAGAGCCCAGGCCCTGAGTTCAAGCTCTAGGACTGACCAAAAAAAGAAATAGATTCAAAAGAATATAACCACATTTCCAAAGAGTCTTAAGAATGGCATATATTTATATACTAAAGGCAATGACAGGATTAAAAATAAAGGTTAGCATTCTGATCCACAGTTTTAAAAAAGAAAGGATAAGACCATCTACACAGCATCTTTGCAATGAGATAAAAATGTAAAAAAAGAAGAGACGTGGAGTGCATACAACATGCAAGTTTTATCATCACCACAGGACCATAACTGAATGAGACCAGGCATTACAAGATGTGAAACTCTGTAGCAGACTTCACATTTTTATTAAGCATGTGTAAAGAACTAAAACCATTTCTCAACATGTCATGTTTTAGCCACTCGTTTGCCTTTTTTTTTTTTGGTCGGTTGTGGAGCTTGAACTCTGGGCCTGGATGCTGTCCCTGAGCTCTTCAGCTCAAGGTAAGCTCTCTACCACTTGAGCCACTGCACTACTTCCGGTTTTCTGGTGGTTATTTGGAGATAAGAGTCTCATGGACTTTCCTGCCCCGGCTGGCTTTGAATGGGCTGGCTTTGAACCGTGATCCTCAGATCTCAGCCTCCTTAGTAGCTAGGATTATGGTGTGAGCCACCAGTGCCCAGCCACTCATTTGCTTTTAAAGGGAAAAAAAAATCTGCTCTATTTATTTTTTTTTGGGGGGGGGGAAGGGTTGGTCATGGGGCTTGAACTCTGGGCCTGGGCACTGTCCATGTACTCTTCAGCTCAAGGCTAGCACTCTACTACTTAAACCACAGTGCCACTTCTGGTTGTCTAGTGGATAATTGAGTCTCACAGGGACTTTCTTGCCCAGCCTGGCTTTGAACCTCAATCCTCAGATCTCAGCCTCCTGAGTAGCTAGAATTACAGGCATGAGCCACCAGTGCCTGGCCTTTCTATTTTTATAATGAATAGTTCTACCTAAGTTGCTGGGAAATGTAACTTGGGACAGGAACTCTAAGTTCAGACTGCTTTGCAGTGTCTGGGCCTTCCTGTTCTGCTTCTTAAGCACAGGATTTCAATGCCATTCCACTGAATATGCTGGTAAGGAATGTGGGCCAAAGTGGCTACCTAACAGACCCACATCTTGAATCCTGCCTGCCTCGGTGACCACTGTTTCCACAGAAACTAGAATGATTCAGTTCCAAGAAATAGAAAAATGCAAGTGGGATGGCTGGAATGCAAAACGAAGAGTTAACTGGCTCCACCAACAGTCTCCTTCTCAAAGACGCTGTCCTCTATGGTAGCTTGCCACGTTCCACCCAACAACAGCTGCTCATGATAATCAATGTCTGACAGATCAGAGAAAGCCCTTAATGTGTCGCCAAGGGGCAGTTCAACAGATGGCATGGTGACTTACAACCAGAATCATTAATTACACTCTCTTATTAGTCCCAGAGTACAGGACTTAAAATGCTTCCTCTGTGAAAGATGAGCATTTCAGATAAATGACCACCTGGTACTGCCTGGGAAACTCCCTGTAGGATTTCTGGTCAGTGCTGACTTCCACATCCAAGCCATGCTATTTCTACAGCCATTTCCCAGCTTCCACATTCAAGCTGGCTAGGAATATGAAGTCCCCACCGCCACTTGCCACCACAGCAGGTAAGGATATGGTAAATACGTCCTAACTCACCTCTCTTCTCTTAGTCAGCTGACTGTGAAGTGACGGATTCAACAATCTCTGCCAGAGCCAGGTCAGTGAGCCAAAGAATGTGTTTGGAGGGGTTGGGGAGCGGCAGGTGGCCCTCCCACTCCACTGTCTATTCAGCAGACTCATATCATTTAGCTGGTTCTCCAACTCAAACCTGTCCTCCCCTCACACAACACTGACTACCACTCTTTCCATGAACCCGTTAAACCAAGTGGAGTTGACACCCCTAATGAAGGGAGCCTAAGACTGCAGTACATGCAAAAATCCTCAACTGTTCACACTGCTAGCTTGGTTTTCCCAAGGGACTAGCCCCAAGGTTAAAACCAGTCTGCACTTACCTAAGAGGCCAATCAAGTACATGGCAAAGAAATGTTTCTGAGCTCCCTTCTGAGGCCACTCAGGTAGGGATGAGTTCATTCTCAATAGTTTGAGAACTGTGACATTTTAGAACTGACAGAAACAGAGCTTGGCGGCAGATGACTTACTGTCATCTGTATATGTCAGAAATAAGCTTTAAAACAACATAAGCATTTTTTTATGTAACCAAATAAATGTTTTGGCTTTCTGACCTTTCTGTGCCCTGATTTAAATTTTTTTTAAATGCAACATTAAAGCAATGTTAAGATCTTAAATATTGTGATTAAGAAATCATACTCTTCTACAATTCCATTTTTTTCTTTTCTGGATGTATCAAAACCTGACTTTGATTTTTAAATAGGCTCAAGTAATTAGTTATCTGGTGGATATTCCCATCTGGTAATTTTCACAAGATAAAAATGTTGTTAGTGGGGACATAATGACAAGTGCCCAATGTGGGCTACAGGAAGGGAGACCTGGACAGTCTCATGCTTGGCAATGTACTCACTTCTAGCTTTTTCTCTTTTTCTGACAAAACATCCTTCTGATTCTGGGTGTACTCCACCAACATCCGAGCCAGCTGGCGGCGGTCTTCCAGTTCTGCTGCCAGGCGCCCGTTATATTCTGCTAGTAACAGACATGCTTCATCTACTGTTTTTGAAAGACGCTCAGCTGCCTCTTTGTCTAAGTACAAACGAGACCAAAAAAAAAAACAGAGACAACATACAAATCACATAGGTACAATTGCAAACATTTCTGGGGAGGGTTTCACAGTCTCTCAATCATACAGGGTCCAAGATAAAGCCACAATCTGCAGGCCTAAATGAATTGGCTGGCCAAGAAATCCAAAGGTTTTCACTCTAACAAGCAGAACATTTCTGAAATTACCTGAAATGAGGCAGCTATACAGGGGGAAAAAAAATCTAGCAAAAATTTTCCAGTAGTGGAGCTTGAATTCAAAACGTAGAATAGCACTCTACCACCTGAGCCACAGCTCCACTTCCAGCTTTTTGGTGGTTAGAGATGAAGTCTGGCGGACTTTACTTCCCAGGCTTTGAATTGCGATCCTCAGATCCCCTGAACAGTTCAGATTATAGGCATTAGCCAATGGCACCCAGCGATTATTTTTTAACAAAATAAAAACTGCAACAAAATAAGTAGAAAGATATGTGAAGTCACCTGTGAAATAATTAGCCTTGCCTCTGAGAAATTCAAGTGCTTTTGTTTATATTAATTCAATAATTTTTTTTAAAACATTCTTCTGAAGTAAAAGTGCAAGCATTCATTTCTTTGGTGTGGAAACAAATGCTATGTGACAGGTTCAACATGTGGTCTCTAAAGTGCACCTACAAGACTCTTCACCTTTGTGAGCCTGGAGCCTGGGTGTGAGCTCTCTTCTAGCACTCAACAAAATATAGATCTGATTAGAACAGAGGTTTTTCAATGTTTTTGAACATGACTCACGGTAGAAATACACTTTACATAAACACATACAAAAATAAAACCTTTCACAAAGCAGTGTCCATCTGTACTACAAGTGTTCTACCTTTTGTTCCATTTTTTTCATAAGTATTGGTCATTATCTACAGGACCAACTTTATATCCAATTAATGGCCTCCATCTTGTTATTTGAAAAACAACAAAATTTATTCTGAAGTACAAGAAAGGATGTTCTTGGAAAGAAGTGGTAAAAAAAAAAAAGGCTCTACAGGTGAAACTAAGAAACAAAAGGAAGGTCTGTATTTATAAAGAACTGCTATAATTACAAATGTGTGGGTGGTGAGATCAGGACTTTCAATGTGTATTATTTTAAAAGGCCATTAACAACCAAAACAATGGGTTGGAGCTTTGAAACAAAAAGTACCAGATTCTCTAGCAGTTACACAGAAAAACTAAAAATGAGTTACCAGCCAATGTCTGTCCCAGGCTGGCAAAAGTAAGCAACCTTGGCAACCTTTCAACTGACTAGAATTTAACAGTTCCCCACGTGTTCATGCCTGTAATCCCAGCTATTTGGGAGACACAGAAGAGATCAAAAGAATCTCAGTTAAAGGCCAGCTGGTACAAAACGTTCGTAGGATCCCATCTAAACTAATAAGCTGGGCATGGTGGCCAGGGTTTGCTAATCCATCTATGCAAAAAGTTTAAACTGGAACATTTAATACCAGGCTGGATCCAGAAGAAATTCAAGAGTCTACCTCAAAAATAACCAAAACCAAAACGATTGGCGGCTTGGCTTCAGAGGTAGACAAGGTACCTAGTTAGGCAAACACCTTGACACACACACACACACACACACACACACACACACACACACACACACACACATACATACATACATACAAACAAAAATAAGTTTCTAACACAGTACCTCCATCTGGAAGTCACCTGGCTCTAATATGCCTTCTTATCATTAATACCAAGAAATGAATCTCTGAGGGTTCTAAACTGGTTCGGGTACTTCTCTGTTCATTGGGACAGAGAACAAAAAATTAAAATGTTCTTGGTGAGAACACCTCCTTGGGAAGAAGAAAAAGGGAGCCCAAAGGAAAGAGACAGTCTGGGTTCTAGAGTGCTGCAAACCCTATTCTGCCAGATGGATGATGTGGTTTGTGATAAGCTGCTGCAGTACATAGACTGGTTTTAGCTTTGTCATTGCTAGACTAAATTATCTTTAGTAAACAGTTTACTCTTTGTAAATGGTTAATTCATTAAGATGTTGGTATGGCTGTAGCAAAAAAAAAAAAGGCAAGGAAAACACTGATGTTTAAGATTTGGGATCTTTAAAGAATCAATTTCAAATAAATCATTTGCCCAAATAATTGCAACCTGGAAAAAAATCATTTAATCACCTATAAAAAAAAATGTAGTCCAGGGCTGGGAAGGTGGCTCAGTGGTAGAGCGCTTGCCTTGCATGCACGAGGCCCTGGGTTCGATTCCTCAGCACCACATAAGCAAAAAGAAAAAAGCCGGAAGTGGCGCTATGGCTCAAGTGGTAGAGCACTAGCCTTGAGCCGAAGAGCTGAGGGACAGCGCCCAGGCCCAGCGTTCAGGCCCCACGACTGGACCCAAAAAACAAAAAAATGTAGTCCAAATATAGAAGCAAGCTTTTCAACTGGGGACTTACCTGTGACTATGTGCAGCTCTGATCCCTACAGTAGCCTAACCCTGGGATTGGCCCAAAAACTTCAATTCTGTGCAAGTCCATTTCCCTGACTGGTTCATTTCTCTTTCCCTTCTACAACATCACCACCAGCATAAGCATACAGTTCTGTCTTCCAACAATCCAGCATCCCCAACCATTGCCTATTTCCCTCTTTCCTTCCACAGCAACCTTCAGAGCTACCTATACTGCCCATAACCACCGTGGCCTCTTCCCATATTACATTACTTCATCCAGGCTTTAAAATGCATCAATCCTCTTTGTATAACCTTCCAACAGGCCTAACAAATATCTACACTTCTCTGGATGATGGTATATGCGATTGCAATTACATGAAAGAATAAGGTCAAGGAGAAAGAATGGGATGTTGGGGGGGAGGTAAGGACAATTTTCAATAAGGTAGTCTCAGGGAAGATTTCACTGAAGTGATAAATGAACACAAGCCTGAGGGAAAAGGAGGATTCCTCCAGAAAGAACACCAAATATAGGGTCCTGGGGCAAGGGGTTGGAAAGTGTCTGGCAAGGAACCTAGAAGACTCGGGCAGTAAGCTTTGAGAAAGTAGTGAAAAGTCCAGGACATGGTGGGGGCAGTGAAAGCCTTTGGCTTTTGCTTTAGATAATAGGAGAAGTAACTGGAGTGTTCTTAGTTGGGATAGGAGTATATAATCACTCACTGTGATCACTATATTGAGAATAATGATGGCTGGGCATGGGGGCCAAGAATGAAGTAGAAAGACCACAAAAGAGGCAATTGTAATAACCCCAATGGTAACTTATACCAGGTGGCAGAAGAGGTGGTGATAAGATCCCATGTACTGGTTTTGGCCATGATCAACAGGAATAATGAGGCCATTTATTGAGCTAGGGAAGATAAGAAGAGAAATAAGTTTCAGAGGGAAGATCAGAAGTTCAGCAAGGCATAGGTAGTTTGAAATGCCCATCAAGACTAGTATTATATCAAGCTAGTTGTACTGAGCAGAAAGAAGTTGGAGATGAAGGTGTCAAGTGATAGAGGTGTCAACACTAGATTTGTAGATTTAAGGAATCATCACCAGAAAAGGTAGTCATGAAACAGCCATCAGTGAAGTTACCTACAGAAGAGGGCTAAAATTCCACATGAAGAAAAAATAAAGAAACCACAGAGGAGGAATAGCTATGGCCAAAGAGTAGGAAAGCTGGAAGAATGTGGGGCCTTACTGTCCTACTGCTGGTCTAACAAATGCCCAGAAGTTTAGTGGCTTAAAATATAAATTCCCTATTGTAAAGATCCCTTCCTCCACCTTGAAGCCTAATTCCAAGCCTCTGCTTCCATGGCAATCCCTCCATCTCTCAATGATGCCTGCCCACTTCTTTTACAAGGACCCTGTGATTGCCTTAAGTCCCAGGCTAAATAATCCAATGTCATCTTCCCACCTCTAGACCCTTACATTTAATCACATTTACAAAGTCCCTTTTGCTTGTAGGCATAGTTACAGGTTCTGAGGATTATGATTCAAGTTATCTTTTCTTCGGGGAAGAGAAGTAGTGGTGGTTCTTCTATCAAACCCAGTATAGGGAAATAATGCAAAAGGTTAAGTGCTACGGTGGGCAAATTAAGGTGAGGGCACTGAGTATGGCAAGGAGGAAGTCAGCAGCACCTTTGACAGGAACAAGTCCAATCAAGTGAAATGAAATAAGAATAGGTAAGCAGGACAGACAGCTTACACAATTTGCTCAATATGTTCTATTAAAAGGAACACAGATCAAGAAAAAAAAATTCCCACATTGGAAAAAAAACTTACAAAATGTGCCAGATGCTGGTGGTTCCTGCCTGTAATCCTAGTTACTCAGGAGGCTGAGATTTGAGGATCACAGTTCAAAGCCTGGCTGGGCAGGAAGGTCCATGAGATTCTTATAGCCAATTAACTAACTACCAGAAAACCAGAAGTAGAGCTGTGGCTCAAAGTGGTAGAGTGTTAGCCTTGAACAAAAAGGTTCAGGGACAAGGTCCAGGCCTTGAGTTCAAGCCCCACAATCAACAAGAACAACAACAAAAAAGATACAGGGATACAGGGGGTAATACCACACACCTAGAGTTCTTGGCATTGAATTACCACCAGGCTTGCCAGTACATAGCCTATGTAAATCGCACAGGTCTGTACCATAATGCCTTTCTTAGTAATACCTACTTCCTCCTCCAAGCCACTGTCACACACATATACAATTTGAACTAGGTGTTAATAAACCTTAAGAGTGCACAGGTTGTGGCATGCTAGCACTTTTGCAATGATTTTACTTATTCCAGAGCTTCTTTGTTCAGCAAGAGTTGCTTGTAAATCTCAAAATGGCAGAGCACCAACACCACATGAAAATCTACATGTGCAAATACAGGCAAGTTTGATGCTCCACCCTCCATTTGATAAGCAAGTTTGATGCTCCAGCTTTCATCTATCTCCCAAGCTCTACCTTCTTACCTGTAATTTTTTCCAACAGAGAAACATCTTGCACTTCCTGGGGCAGAGAAGCAATCTTCTGTCGAACAGTAGCATCTCCTGATGCAGCATTTTCCAGATCCTGCAAAGCTTTGATGAGTTCCTCAGTCTGTAAAATGAAGCACAAACAATACTAGCCATTAAGACATGTGGTGTTTAGTGCGACACTGGTGGCTCACACCTGTAATCCTAATTACTTAAGAAGCTGAGAACTGAAGATCCAGGTTGTAAGCCAGCTCAGATATGAAAGTCAATGAGACTCTTATCTCCAATTACACCAAAAGCCTGAAGTGAAGCTGTAGCTCAAGTGGCAGAGTGCCAGCCTTGGGTGAAAAAGCCCAGGATCTGAGTTCAAACCCCAGTGCTAGTCCTCTCCCAAAAAAGACATGGAGTTTAATTAAAGGAAACTAGCTAGATTTAAATGAGGTACAGGAAAATTTTTAAAAAATGATCATTCAAAAAAAACATACTAGTTACATAGCTTATATGGATGCTAGTAATATGCATTCTAAGAGAACATACAAAACAGGGATAGTACAAAAAACAAATAAAAAAGCAAACTTTGCAGTCTCCAATAAGACATATAATTCTTTTAAGAAAATTAAGAGCATGCTTTACCAACGTAAGAAAATGGAGTTTAGTTCATATAGCTTACTTTCAAAGAAGTACTATTTCTAGCATTAAATAGTCTCTACTATAGAAAAACTGTATATATCAGCTGTTTAGCAACTATATACTGGGTAGTCAAATTCAAACTGAGTTCACTTTACAAAATAAGTATCACTCCCAAAATTAAATAAGCCAAATGTATTAACTCATTAAGAAAGAAAAATTAAAAAGTAAGCCAAGAATAGACATTCTATATCTATTCAAAGAGTTTATCAAATCATCAGAAAGCACAGAATGCTGACAGGTCAGATAGTTCATGATGGCCTACAAGCAGCTGACTCCTAGGGAAATTCATTAGATGGTAGGAAGATCATCATGAAAGTTGAGAGCCCAAGCTCTTCTCTACATGCTTTTAGAGTAAAGATGTATAACTGGTACTGCTATCACTTAAGCTTCAGGGCTTCTCAGTTATATAAGTTCTGAATGCACCATTACGTAATAAAGTTGTTTTAGGCAAATTAACAGGTAACTTGACCCAAAGAAAAGGACTTGGACAGCTAGGTGTGGTGTCACATATGTCATCCAGTACATGAAAGTCTGAAGCATGATTCCAAGTTTAAGGACAGCCCAGTGAGTTCCAGGGCAACCTATATTGCCCAAGACCCTGTCTCAAAACAAAGCAGAAATTAAGCTACCTGAAAAGTTAGCCTGGCTTTTTTAGTCTCATTTTCTTTAATTGTAAGTATACAAACCAAAAGTAGGTTTGAGGCTTTTTTGTTTTGTTGTGACTTAACTCAGGGCCTCAGTCTTTGTACTCACAGCTAGTGGCTACACTTGAACCACTCCTCAAGTTCTGTTTTTTTCCTAGTTAACTGGAGATAAGACTTTTGGAGGGTCTTGCACATTTGCCCAGGCTGGTTCCAAACCCCTATCCTGAGACCCAGGTTCCTCAATAGTTAGGATTATAGAAGTGAGCCACCAGTGCCTGGCTAAAGGACCAAGTAATACAAACATATGGGTGAAGACTAACTCCTTATTTTAATATTTAGCTATAGTATATAAATTTGATATGACAGTTCTTAGACAGGCTGTCATAACAGTTTCTACCCATTTCACAACAATCTACTGTTTAAGAACATTGACTTTCTAGGAGAGAAAAGAACAGTTCCAAGCCCTTTACAAAACAGGATCCCACCTGGAGTCATGGCACATAAGACAAAGGCAAAGCCCTTTGTCTGTAAAGCTTTTGGTGAGATCCTACCTCATCGACCTCAAGAGCTGCCCTCTGACAACTCTATACTATTGGTCACTAGCACCACCTTGTGGTATAATCTTCAACAAAGGGTCACTTCAAACTAGCTACCCTTCACTACTTTCAAGACCAAACATACCAAGAGGGGTCCTGCAGAAGGATCTTGGGGAGAATAGCTTCCAGGGTAGTCATCATCTTCCTCTTCTTGTATCTGTTGAAAAGTTCGCTTCAAAGATTTCTTTTCTTCTGTTGCTAAGGGAAATAGAAGCAACGATTTTAATCACATATCCTGCATTGACAGTCAAATACTCTATGTAAATACAGGGGAAAAGTGGTACTCATTTTCAGAGATGACTTAGTATTAACTTTTAAGTAGATTATTTGAGATTGGTTTTTTAAAGTCTTTACACTGCTGAAGAGTTAAAAAGGATCCTGGTCTGTCTTCTCAGATTGACCCTCTAGAAAAACATTACTAACAACAAGCATCTACAACTGAAACACATCGAACTGTCTTATTGGTTTAAAATCCTCATTTTTTTTTGTGGGGGGGGGGTCTGGTCTGGTCATAGGGCCTAGGCCTGGGCGCTGTCCCTCAGCTCTTCAGCTCAAGGCTAGCGCTCTACCACTTGAGCCACAGTGCCACTTCCGGCTTTTTT